AATAGAATAGATGGGCTCCAAGGGAAAAAAAAAAAGGAAAAAAAGACACAGAAAATTTCTATCTACCTTCCAAAAAGGTGGATTCTGGGGCTGGGGAGACTGGAAGTGGGGTGGGGGTCAGAGATGACCCTCCCTCCGAATCCCTTGGTAACCAGAGGCTTCTAGTTGGACCTGGTGCCTGCAGCCTGGAGGGACAGTCAAGGAGGTGGAGTCTGGGACTTGGGAGACTTGAAGTGGGGTGGGGGTCAGAGATGACCCTCCCTCAGAGTCCCTTGCTGACCAGAGGCTTCTAGTTGGACCTGGTGCCTGTGGCCTGGAAGGACAGTCCAGGAGTTGGAGTCTCGGGCTGGGGAGACTGGTAGTGGGGTGGTGGTCAGAGATGATCCTCTCTCAGAGTCCCTTGCTGACTAGAGGCTTCTAATTGGACCTGGTTCTTGCGGCCTGGAATTACAGTCAGAGGCTTCTAGTTGGACCTGGTGCCTGTGGCCTGGAAGGACAGTCTCGAGATGATATTTCTTGTAGGTAGCAGATAGAAGGTTTCTGTTTTTCTATCCATTCAGGCAGTCTGTGTCTCTTACTTGGAGAATTTAATCAATTAACATTCAGTGGTATTATTGATACTTCTGAACTTGTCTCTACCATTAATTTGGCTGTTGTCTTGGTTGTCTTTTATTCTATTTCTTTCTGTTCATTCTTTAGTTTTCCTGGAACAGGATTCCTTTCGGAGTTCTGTGAAGAGCTGGTGTGGTATGGGCAAATTCTCTGGTTATGTTTGTCTGCAAAGATTTTAATCTTTTTCCCCCCATATATAGGATAATCTTGCTAGATATTATAATCTTGGTTGAAATTTTTTCGCTCTTAACACTTTCAAAATGTGTTCCCATTCTTTCTTTGCTTGCATTGTTTTGCTTCAAAGGTCCAGTGCTAGCAGGATTTCATGGAATAGGTTTCAATGCCCTTATTAGTTTCTTCATCTTCTGGGATACCAATTATTTGGATATTTGGATATTTAATGGAATCTAGTATTTCTTCTTTATTATCTTCAATTTTTTGTTGTAATTTTCTCTATCATTTTGGTAGTTTTCTCCTAGGTCAGAAATTTTTTATATTACATTCGATATTCAATATTCAGCATGGTCTAATTGGCTTTTAAATACTTTTAAGGCTGTATTACAGTCTTTATCTCTAATAGTTCCATTTGATTCTTTCTTATGGTATCCATTTCTTCTCTTTAATTGTGGAAGGACTTCCTCATGTCTTGGAGTTTGTTATTTCTTTTTTATTCCAACTCAGTTTTGTCACCATGAAGGTTCTGAATTTTTCTCTGAATTTTGGTAATTTCTTTTTTTTTTTTTTTACAAGAGATGCAGGAGAGTTATTGTGTTCTCTTGATGGAGACATACTTCCTGATTTTTTCAAACTTGAGGCTCTTCTGTGACTTCTAGCCATTGAGTGATGTATTCACTTTTGGATACATTTTTAGAGAATGTTTCTGCCACTGGGAACTAGTTTGCTTCCCTTTTGCTATGGATTTCTTCTTTGCCAGTCTCTCTTCTGCTGTATTTCCGATGTGTTTCCACCTGGTGGAGTTTTCTATTCCGGTTTCTGATTTGCAGTTTCTCCTTTTTTGCAGGTAGTTCAGTATAGAGTGAGGATCCCTGGGATCCTCATGATACTAAGATGTTTGAAAACTGTGGTTCTAGCCCTATCTAATCCTTCTTGGCGGGGAATGGACGATGAGGAGAAGATGACAATGTAATTATAAAAGAGCGCAACGCATGATTTCGTCAGGTGGCTGCAGATGGAAGTGGGCTCTGCTTGAGAGCTGCCCTATGGGGGAAGAAGTAAAGAATTAGCAAAAGAAAGAAGGAAAAATAAAAGATTATTTTTCTGGTGGGGAAAGTCCGGAGCTGGGGCTGAAAGTGGGGCTAAGGCTAAGGTACAACCCACCTCAGCTTCCCTGACTGCGCAGAGGGCTGCAGATGGTAGTAACTATTGTTGAATTCTAATAGTTCTTTGTAAAATGTAGTTACCAGTCCTGTGTTAGATTAGTCTTTTCCATATATTTTTCTCCCAGACATGACTTATTTTGTCACTCTTGATATTGAATGCCACAGAGCTGAAATTTATATTATTTTTGTTTTAAGAGAGATCTTTTGCTATAGAGTGTAAGTGCTCGCCAGAGACACAGAGATAGACATAAAGCAAGAAGTCACCCCACCAGGGGGTGGCCACTCTGCAATCCCTTATCTATTCTCTTTCTAGGATCTGGAGCATGCATGCCCACAATCCTGACATGAGTTTTAAGGTGCTGGGTCCAGTATTCAAACTGTGGTAGACTATGTGGGAGTCCAGTGACATAAGCATTCTGCCATCTGCTGGTCACTGAAATTTATAATTTTAATGGATTTCAGCCTAACAGTTTTTATCTAACTGTGCTTTTGGTATTTCGTTTTTTTTTTCTTCTTTTCCTAAAATAATAATCAGACCCAAGGTCCCCTTAGATTTTTCTCCTGTTTTATCTTACAGGATTATGTAGAATTTGTGTTTTATCTCTAGGTCTGTGATCCATCTTGATTTAATTTTTGTGAAGAAAGTAAGGTCAGTGTCTAGATTCACTTTTTTTGCAAGTGAATGGATTACTTAGGTGTCATGAAGCTGGGTTAATGTCTGAGTTTGTGTAGCCCTTTGGGGATTTGTGCCAAAGGCATTGGTAGTAAAAGAAGTAGCCAGTAAACTATTTTTGTCATAGATGCTTTCTGGTAAAAGCAAACTTTGGTGGATTTACTCATTTAGGGTTTTGCCTTGCTTAGATTTTGTCTCTTTTATCTTGTTACCTTTTTATGCTTTTATGATATTTTTTGTATTTCATTGGTATTTTATAAATTTTTTATTTTAGGGTTTATTTTAATTATGTAGCAGAAATCTTTTCCTTTAATTTGTATTTGAATTTGTCTTGATTTTTCTTGCTTTTTGTAGGTTCTACATGAAACATTTCCTCACCACACATTCCTCATGAATGGTCTTATTCAAGGTGTGAAGGTAAGAACAATTTTTGTGTGGTTCTTAATGAGCCGGAGTCAGGAATTTAATAGTTTTAGCTCTTGAGGTTTAAATAGAATTTAAGGAAATAATGACTATTTTTTCTGGACTTAAATCTAAGTTTTTATTTGGGTTATCAAAACAGAATAAAATAACAACACAAATATATACAGTATAGAATAATTTACTGGGGGAAAGAGATGTGAATACTCTTATCTCATCTTGTAAATGTTTACAGAGCAGTGTATAAAGGGTATAATTATGTGAAAATATAACTGCCCTAACAATAGAATCAAGTGGGCAGTTGCTACTTCTTTTAACTAACTTAGACTGAGAAAGAAGGAAGTGTCAAGTTTCAGTTGGATATTCAGTTTTATGGCCCAGCTGATGTTCTAGCCATGACTTCCTGCATTCTCTCTCAATTTAATTAGCCTTAGTTTATTATTTCAGTTTTTTAAAAGAATTATTTATTTATTTCTATTTATTATTATTATTTTTCAAGTTTGCTCTATTGCACATACTCTCACTAGAGAGAGAGAGAAAAGGAGGGAGGGAGGGGAAGTGAGAAAGCAAGCCACCACGTCCAGGACTTGAACCATGGTTGGCCATGTGGGAGTCCATTGCCCTAACCATCACACCACTCACTTGCCCAGTTATTTTAGTTTTAATATGATTCATATCAAAGCTTATAAGTAAAGGGTCAGACACGCTTCTGGCTCACTTCATAGTAAAGTTTATGGATATTGGGCCAGCAGGGGACATTGAGGTTAAAGTGCTAAATCCCACATCAAGGGCTATAGACTCTGAGAAAAATTACTCCACAGATCCCTGTCTCCTGCAAACGCTATTGAATTGTGATTTGGGCAATTCTGCAAAATAATGCCAACCAAATCTTTACCTTAAAAGATAAGCAGCCTGCCCTACTTTTATCTATGGACATCCACAGTGTGTTCTCGAAAACAAAGCATAAAAGGAATTTTAGTTTATGCAAGGGCTTGGATAAAGATTTGTGTAAGGGATGTATGTCTCTTAGATAAAATGACAATATTTTCACATAAGATAAACATGTCCACCCTTATACTTTAAATCATTTCTAGATTACTTATAGTAGCTAATATAATGTAAATGTTATCCAACTAGTAATACTGTATTTTTTTTTGTTTTTATTTTCGTCTTGTATTTTTTTTCCCTCAAATAATTTTGATTTGTGACTGATTAGATTCATAGATTCAGAAACTACAGATATAAGGGACCAGCAGCACTTTGTAGAGGACAGATGTGAGGATTAAATGAGATACCTTTTGGACAAAGCATCACAGTGCCTTCACGTGCTAAATCCTAAATGAATGTTAGAGTAAATGTGAAAAACAAACCAACTATTAAAATGCAATATTGGTGAATTTTTTTAACCAGTTTGAGGGAAGGATTTTTATTTTTAGACAAAGAATTTAAGAATGAATTAGGTACATCAGTATTTCAAACTTTAAAAGACAAATGTGAAAGTGTTATTTATCACATTAATAAAGCAGGAATATTGGGACCAGCAGATGGTGTAATGGTTACATCGCTGGACTTCCACATAGTCAACAACTGTTTGAGTCTTGGACCTGGCAGCTTAAAACTCAGACCGGACTCATGTACATGAATGCCCAAATCTCTGAGAGATGAATAGAGAAGGGATCTCAGCATGACCATACCCCTGGAGAGTGATTTCTCGCTTTCTGTCTCTGTGTCTCTCCAGCTAGTACATACACCATGTAGCAAAAATCTCTCTAAAAAATAAATAATAAAAAAATTTAAAAGTACGCAGGAATACTGTTCTTGACATAAAAGTGTTATCAAAGTAAAACCCTTAGCAAATGACTGATATCCCATAAGGGCAAAGAAAAAAATATAAGCTTAAGCTGACAGTTTACAAAAGGGACCATTGTAAAAATAAATTGATCACTAGTAAGCACAGAAGCCTAAATTACATAAGTTAGTATTAATCACTTATCAAATCAGTGAGAGACTAAACTGACATACTAGATGAAGTTTGTTGTGTACGGTGGGTAGGTCCCTAGGCAGTCTTAATGAGAGGATAAATTGGTGCCGCCTGTAAGAGCTTAACAAGGTACTTTATTTCTACACAGTCCTTCTAATAAAGTAAAAATTCAAGGATAGATTTATAATGGTAAAACTTGGAACCAGTTAAAATGCCTTAGAATTAAAAGAATAAATATGTTTTAGGCATATGATACCACACAGACATAAAACGAGCACATTTAAAAAAATATATTTCTTTCGCACCTGAGAGAGGAGAGGAGCATCCTCCATGGGGTCTGGTCATGCTATATTCCTCTTCCCCTAGTCCTCCAGCCTGTTGGATCCTGAGTACCTGTTTGTATGCCTGATGTGCTATAGGCTTACTGGGCTGAGGTTTAAAACTTTGGTTACCTTGTAGGATCCAGCTTCTCTGTATCTCAGAGCTGGCCCCAAAAGAACACACTTTAGAAGACTACCATGTATGTGACCTAAACAGGCTTTATTGGGTCATCAGAAAGGTCTTGATGTATTTTTCTGTTTTTCTACGTATAAATGTTTCATAACTTTTCTGACGACCAAAAAATATAGCCTTATATAGTTCCAGGTTTATGTTGACCAAAACATTCAAGGGGGAGGGCCTTCAGAACATTTGTAGAAGGTGTGTGTTATGAAGAAGTTGCATGAATTTTAATAGTTACTGCACTTATAAAAACTTTTACACTTTAATTCTGTTTACCACCTACTTTTATGAAGTCCCAGCATATATACCTTGGAGTGGAATTGCTGGATCATAAGGCAACTTTTTTTTGTTTAATGTCTTTAAACTAACTCTGATTTGGCAAGTGATCTGTGTTCCTCATCTCCTAGACTTTGGAAAGATGAGTGCCTTAAACTTTGGACAACAGTTTCTTTTATTTCTGTATTCATTCTTTTGATTATATCAAACTCATCACTTTGCACACTCAGATATTTCCCTGAACCTAAGCCCTGAAGTGCAGACTTGTATATATTCTCTTGCCTAATTGATATTTATATTTCTTATCTAAGAAGCTTCTCAAAAGTAGCATCTTCAAGACCACCCCATGGCCTATTGGTTAAGGGAACTGTATCCCATGTGGTCTACTGTAGTTTGAATTCTGGCCCAGTGGCTTGGAAAACGCACTAGGTGTGCATGCCCCAAATCCTGACAGGATGGAAACTAGAGGAGAAGGGATTGTGGCATGACCATGCCCCATTTGCTGGGGTGGGGTACAGGTGTGTTTTCTGCCACCATTACCCCCACCCCAATATATGTGTCCTCTGGCAATTTTTAAAAAATCAGTATTTTCAAACTATAACTCCTGATCTTCCCCTTCAGCCTGACCCACTCATGAGTCTTTCCCATTTTAATTGCTGATTATGTCATCCTATTCAGACCAAAATCTTGTGTCAATCTTGGCTTCTTTCTACCATATCTTAAACCCTACAGTGAGCAGATTCTGTGAGTCTACCTTAAGAATAGATCTTTAACAATGGGTCAGAAAGTGATGTGGAGGTTAAGGGGTTGGATCCCACATGGCTGACTCCATGGTTCAAATCTTGGACCTGGTGGCTTGAAAATTATACCAGATGTGTGTGTGTGTGCCCAAAATTCCAAGAGAAGGGATTGTGATGTGGCCACCCTCCCCACCCCCAGGGGAGTTATTTTTTGCCTTCTTTCTCTCTGTCTCACTGATGAGTTAATGCACCCTATAGCAAAAATTAAAAAAAAAAAAAAAACCAAAAAACAAATCTGTAATCGAACTTTAAAATATTGTGGTCTAGGGCCACCACCCTCCACGTCCCTGGACCATAGCAGTATCCTCCTTCCTGTTCGTTCTCCTTTCATTAGAGAGATTCTGATTCCTGATTATATATGAGCCTCTTTGTGATATTTCTTCTCCGCACCCTGCCCTCAGTTTCCTCTTCTGGCAGCATCCCTGTCGTCCTCTCCTTCGCTGCAGACCTTACTCCATTCCCATTCTGTCAGCCTGGACTTGCCTCAGGGCTTTGCAGGTAATGTTTTTTGTTTTTGTTTTTTCTGCTTGAATTTTTTCCCACCAAATATTGGCATTCCTTGCTTTTTTTATCTCCTTGCCCAGATATATTTTTTCATTTGAGATTTTGTTGATGTTCATTCAAAATACAATATCCTTTTCTGTCATTCTCCTTCATCTCTGCTCCGTTTTTCCTCAAAGCATGTCACCATTGTGTAAATGTGACATGCTGTGTATTTTACTTTGTCTTCATCTTGTTATCTGTACTACTACTGACCCCTTCTCTTTCAAATTAGAAGAAATTTTGTGGTCTTTTTAGTTTGGCAATAAGACATTTTGTTTTGTGCTAAAACACAGAACTTTTTTTTTTTTTTTTTAAATTACCATAGGGTCGGTGCACACAGAGGACTGGGGTTTGGGAGTGAGTGCCCCCAATAAATTGTGCTTATACCACACTCCCTTTCCCATTTTTCCATCCCATTAGGATTTGGGGAATTTATATGCATGTGCCCCCAAAGTTTTCAAGCTGCTGGACTGAGATTTGGCCCATGTGATTGTCTCTGTGGAATCTGGCTTCCTTAACCACTGCTGTGAGACTATTCCCCAAATACACATAATTTAAATTTACCATTTTAACCATGTTAAAGGGTACAACTCAGTGATATATTAAATGTATTCATAATGATTGGTCATTATCACCTTCCATTCCCATAACATTTTTCTTCTTGTGAAATGGAAACTGTACCCATTAAACAGTAACTCCTGATCACAACACTGTTTTGAATACTACACATTTGCAATGAGCTTTGAAGTCAGGAAGTATGTATTTTAGCTTTGTTCTTTTTCAGATTGTTTTGGGTACTTAAGGTTCCTTGCAATTCCATATGAATTTTAGAATGAAATTTTCTTCTTTCTTTTTTTTGCAAAAAAATAAGTCATTGGGATTTTGAGAGGGATGGC